GTGGCTCAGCTAAAAAAAATAAATAAATAAAAAATAAAATAATAATAATAAATAGATAAACCTGTTCCTCTCAGCCACTTATAAAGCCTTTCGTGGCCCAGAGATCCCTCATGAGCATTTATTTTCAGTACTAAGATTTGATTTTAGCGTCATGGGAAATCTGACCCTCTGACCGTCTCTCTCCTGGGAGCCCCATCTGGGAGACCAGTATCCTACCTAGTCCAATGATCAATGTTTTTGAAGCACCTGAAACACAGTAGGAGGTCAATCAGTGCTAGAGTCCCCCTCTTCTTCTTCATTCAGAAGTCTATACCAAGCACCTAACTGTCCCAGGCCTGGATGCCCTGCACAAGCACCATCCTTTGAGGGCTCAGAGGCAAACATACTAGAAGGGCCAGTAGGGGTGACTGTCACTAAGTCATCTGTGACCTTGTCATGTCACTTAGCTTCATCTCAGCTAGAAAGGAGGGGGTTTGATAGATGTTAGGGACAAGGGCAATTCTCATTTGATAGCTTGAGCTTTCGGTGTCCTTAATCACAGAGGGCTAGGGCTGGAGGCCTACCTAGGGCTCTCTGCTATAGACCCCTTGGCCTCAGATCTTGCCTGGTGTGCTGTCTTCCTATATAGACCTAAGGATTCATCAGATGCCAAGGCAAAGAGCCTGGAAGCCTTACTGGGTCCCAGGAATCAGGAGGCCACTCAGTCAGGCTGGACAGCAGAAACGCGCTACCCAGAATTCCTGGTCCCTGGCGTTCAGTCCCCCTGGACCTGCTTCAGCCCCTTAGGCAGGCGTTTCCTGTTGATAAGAAGCTCAGTCACAAACACTGATAAAGAGATGAAAAAGGAAATTGACGGGCTTGGGTATAATGGGCATTTTTGTCTGCTGCTTCTACCTTCTTCCTTCTCCCAGCACCCCACCCCCACTGCTTCCCAGAACCAAGGAGAAAACATGCCCCCACCTCCACGTGGGCCCTATTTTGTAGTTTCCAGGAATTTAGCCTTACATAGCCCTTAGAAGCAGGGCCTAGCTTGACCCCGGTGTGGGATAGGAGCTCAGAGGCAGGAAATACTGGGTGCTATGAGGCCCTCAAGCCCAGGGGAAAGGGCAGTAGCAGCAGGAAGGAAGGACAGGCAGGAATAGGTTGCATCTACAACCTTCCCTCCTCCTCCCTCCCGCCAGAGGCCTGGATCCAAGTCATAGTTAGGTAGCTGCATAGTCTATAATTAGTGGATTTTCCATAATTTTAGTCTCAGACTCATTACTGGAAAATCCCATTAATTTTGACTTTACTAATTTGGAATCGATGATCCTTCAGGACAAGAGGCTGTACTGATGTTTAGAAAAACAAACAAAGCAAACAAGTTTGCAAAGCATGCCCAACTGCCCTTCTTGGGTTTGGATTTGTAAGCTCAGCTCTTCTCAGGCGCTCAGGCTGCAGTTAAGATAACCTGCCACCAGGTGGGTGATGAGGCTTTGCCCTGACACTTGTGCTTCAAGTATAGTAGTCATCGCTCATAGACAGAGGCGTCTTAAGGTTTCTATTTGATACTCTTCCTTCTTCCCCAGAGATGTAATTCCTTAATAAAACAGTTAGATAAACATAAAAGAAATGGAATAGATGATTCTAAATGGCCATTGTTGAAAAGAACACCAGCAGCTATATAAATACAACTTGGAGACTTTATCCTGAATTCTTAACTGTTTCCAGTCCTAGTTTCCACCCGATCAGGGCCTTTTCCTGGTTTCAGACCCTCACACCTGTCATTGTACTTCTGACACTTGCTGGAAGGATCAGAATAGTGAAGGACAAAGGGTTTCATCCTAGTCAAGATTCTGGTTGGATTTTTGTTAGTAATGCAACAAATTTATTATAAATTTTATATGGGAGAATATAAATTCATGAAGAACTAAGTCATTTTTTTCTTATTTTAAGTTATTTTATGAA